CCGCTATTTTCATGATGTGTGTATATATATATTCGGCAAAGATTCTAAGCATGTGCATTGTGGGCATTATGTTACATATAATTACAGCAGTGGGGGGGGGGGGTCTTAGACTTTGACGGCCGATATGATAACGCCCCAGCGGTTCGGCCGCCCTTCTATTGGCGAAAAGAAAGAAAATTGTTGTAAATCATACTACTAACGTTTTTAAATTTTTCAACAAATTATGTTTTAATATCTCTTAGAGCTTTGAAAAACAGAGGGAATAAGTTCTCTAATTAAAAAAACTTAAGGAAATTTGTTTCGAAGAGCAGAAGACAAGACAGAAAAAACTTACAATTTTAGTTTTCAAAATCTAGCTGACATACATGAAAGAGCTCTAAATGTGCTTTTATGTGTGTCATAAAAGCTCAATTTTCTATTGAGAAATGTACAAATCCATCAAAACATCTAATGCAAATTGATCTAATAATAATATCTCATCTGTAAATTATAAATAATTACAATATTTAAACATTAAATTGATGTTCTTGTCTCTAAAATGACCTTTTTTGCAAAAATCGCGAAGTAATTTTATCGTTGTGAATTGCCATTGTTTTACCACCAGAAGGATATGCGCAGAATTGACAATTTTGAAGAAAAGCTGTGGCCTCAAACTCAAACTCAAACTGCTCGTGAACTGAACACACGAATAATACTGAAAACAACTGATCGACCGGAACAAAATCATGTTTTTTACAAAATTTTTAATTGTATTTATTGTATATTTATTAAAACTTATATAAGCAGTAATAATAATGATGCAGAGAAAATAATTTAAATTCTCAATTTTATTATCTGAAATCTAGAGTTAGTTTCTGTCAGGAATTTCTGTTTATTATATAAAGTATTTTCTCCGCCTTCTTAGCATGCGCTCGTAGAGTAGTGGTCACAACACTCAACGAGTATTCGAGAGGTCTGTGGTTCGAGTCTCTTCGAGGGCATTGCTCATTTGTTATCTGTCCTACTTCGAAATAACCCAATGTCTCTACAGTGGCGCCCGAACTAAAAAAGATGATTGGATGATGATTCTCCATCACTAGGATTTGGCGATTGGGTCTCCTAATCCCCAGTCGCCCTTTAAAGGGGGGAGATATTTAAAAAAAAGAATGCATTTAAATGACTGTGAATTATGACATGAGATTGAAAGAATGGGATTCATCTGAAATCAGTCAGAGGTATTCAGAGAGCCAGATATACCCCTAAAATATGATTTCTAAATTAAGGAAACAATTTATAAAACTAGAAGAAATGCCTTTTCATCCAAACATTTGTTCTCAGACCACAGATTCGGCGCTAGATTTTTAGAGACATTAGGTAATTTGGAAAAGCCGTAGAGATGAAAAATTAGCAACTGCCTTCGCTGGAAATCGAACCACAGACCTCTCGAATACGCGCTGATTGTGCTGACCACTACCCCACGAAGGCAAAATAAGAAGGCGGCAGAAATACTTTATATACTCCTCCTTTTAAAGGGCGACTGGGGATTAGGGGACTCAATCGTCAAATCCTGGAGGTGGAGAATCATAACAAACCACAAGTTTGTACGCAACTGTAGAGACATTAGATTAATTTGAAAGCATGAGACGTGAGAAATGAGATGTGCCCTCGCCGGGACTCGAACCACGGAGCTCTCAAATACGCGCCGAGTGTTCTGACCACTACACCATGAAGGCATGCTAAGAAGACGGGAGAAATACCTTATATAAATAATAAACTGTAAATATTTATGTAGGCAACGCAACAAAAAAGGCTGCTGAAAAAAATCTCTTTTAATTTTTGTAGAGTAAGTGCATATTCTTAGTAGTTAATCTCGATTAAGTCATGATTAATTATGAAAAATTAATTCGCACAATCAAGTTTTCATAATTAATTTAGATAGTTGAAAAGTGATGTTATTCTAAATTATAAAACTGCAGTAAGTGAGATATAACCTAATTCTGTCACAATATTTCATTTTTAAACCGAGACATGAAAAATAAGATTCATATTTTTAATGTTTGATCAGTGCTGCATGTCGAAATAACTTCTACGAAATTTTATTGTTCATAAAAATGCAGTTGTTTTCACAGATTCGAAGGGATATAATCCAACAATGGTTGAAAGGTTTTATAGGGAAAAGAAATAATGTATTGAAGGTTACAGCTGAAGGAAAGTTTTCCATTGTTGCCTTTTACATACTTTGGAGGTTATATTTAAAAAATAAATTTCTTTTATAGCCTTTATCATTTAAAACACTTCTAATACATGTAGTGGTAGCTTTTTAACAATTTTTATGCCCTCTGTCATATGTATACATACACATACAGAATTTAATGTGAAGAAATATTTCATATTCGGAATTTTTGACAAGGCGTGTGTACTTTTATCATATTTTTTCATAGAGGCATTACCAGGTGTTTATGCTGATAAAGACTTTCATGTACAGAAATGGCGAATATTTTGATCAATAGTGCCATAGCTAACGGAGAAATATAACAATTTCTCAGACAAAAACTGTGCTAAGTTTTATCGATTATACGCACAGTTTTCGGCGATTAAATATTTTTCGAGACTGTACCAAAAACAAAGAAACCAAAGAAACAAGCTGACTATATCCGATAAGATATAAATTGTGTAAAGTTAATTTAGCAGAAAAAGCCAACAGGAAATAAATTCACCACTAAAGTTTATAAATGTGTATATATATATATATACATATATATTAAGAATAGTAAATTAAAGACTAATAAAAGACTAAATAATAATAATATAATAATACAATTAAGCGCTTAAGCTGCTTAAGATTAAGAATTTAATTCCAAAGAATATTTTCGAAGTTAAGCATTATCTGGACTATCCTGGAAATTATAAGAAACATTTTAACTGTAAAGTCAGCTTATTAGAAATTATTTGTAAAAACTAGAACTTAATCACTAGAAATGGCTTCCAAAAGATTTTAGAAGAAGATGCCAGGAAATATATTAACTACTAAAGTTTATAAATATATATTTATATATACATATACAGACATTATTAGAAAAGTTCTTTTATATATCATCTCCAAGGAACATAAATTTAATTAAAGCTGTGAATTATTGGAATAAATTTGAGTCAGTATTATGTCTTCGTCTTAACACTCACAAGCATGTAAGTTAAATAATTACGTGCTTGTGCTTATATATAGTATAAGCACGTAATTATTTAACTTACGTGTTATATATAGTAAGTATATTTAAGTCATATTTTAAGTGATTATATATATATATAGTAAGTATATTTTAAGTGAGGTTAATTTAATGTACTATATAAAATTCATTATGAATGTGACAGTTCCGTTTAGTTTATAATTATTTTAATTTAAAATCGGGAGATACTATTATTAGGGTGAGTAGTAGTAATATTTTATCACCTGAGTAAAGTGTCCCCCGACACCCTCGCTTTCATTCATGTTATTTCAAAGTAATCCTTATAAACATTAATAAACAGAATGCAATCTTTGCAAAAAATTATTAAATATAAGAGTTGAAAAAATATTTATAGATAATAAGGTACATTAAAATGTACAAAATGAAATGTACATAATATACACAAATGGCCAGAAGATGAATTATTTAACTTACGTGCTTGTGAGTGTTAAGACGAAGACATGTCCGTTAGTGTCTTCGTACCAGAACGGAATTTGGATTTCGAACCAAGATGGAGAGTAGGAGGGACGAGTCAGCCGGAGACTATAAGAATCTATTTTTGGAAGACGGAAGGGAATTGGTTGTGGAACTATTTTTCGAGTGCAAGAGGCGTCTGTTGAAATTTTGACTTCATACTGACCAGACAAAGGTGGATAATTGTTGTAGCGGAAAGAGGGAAATAGTAATCTTCACTGCTCACAAGCTACTAAGCAGTCTGAGAAAATTTGAAAATAGGCTCATTTTTTTAGTAACAGCAAAAATAAAACGCCAGAAACAACGATTTTTACATTATTATACAATTGCTTCAGTAATTATACTATTTACAAGTACTTTAAATGATAGTTATTCAACATATACCGCCTTTTCAGGCTTAGGGATAAATTTTCATATCCCTATCAGCCAAATGATTTAGATAGAGTACGTAACGCCTTCTTTTTAAAACAATGATTAATAAAGTTATTAGGTCCTTGATTATTTTTAAGAATTTTAATAAGTAGCAGAATTTCGCTTTGTAGATTTATTGCATCTGTACAAATATTTTAATGCGTTGTATTTAATTTAATATAGTATTACTAATAACTTTCTTGGAAATTAAAAAAAGTCCAATTTATTAATTTGTTATTGTTGAAATTGAAGTCACGTGTTTTGTCAAACAGCAGAATCTTTTTGTAGTAACAAAACATGTACAGGCCTTGTTAGTATATTTTTTCTCATTGTTAAGTCCTCCCAAATGGAAAGCTGTCAAACGGAATTGACAGTTAGGAAGAGGAATTAAATGTATGAAAATTGTAGCAACTTAAGAACCTGCGTGCTACAATAAGCTACTGTAAAAATGGCTTCTTTAACGAGAAACCTTCACCGACTCAAGTCTTTAACTTCAGTAGTTACATTCAATTTTACCACTTACATACGCGATGGATTTCCTCCGCTGTTCACACCTTTTGCACCTGTTCACAGATAGCATTCGGACAATTATGTAGCCAGAAATATCGATAGTTGGCCGTATTAGCTACTGGTTAATATTTTCCCAAACCGTAGTATCTTCTTATGGAAGTTTGCGTCTTCTATAAAGCATTCAGTTAAAACGACGTGTAAAGGAAAACAAAAAATAAACAAGAACTAGGGAGTTTAAATAAAAACTTACAATGCTAGGTAAGATTATTACTGTAAGAAGGCGTAAACAGACTTTAGGCAATATTTAAACAGTTTCTTTCCCACGTTTACGACATGTACTGATTCTTATTGAAGCTAAAACATGTTGAGAACATATACTGTTATAAATATGTATCTTTACAGCGTCTGCAGAACCGTCGCTCTCAAGGAAAAAGAAATACATTGGCCAGCTGACTCGTGACCATCTGCTATATGATAAAGATGAAGGGGAATCATCGGACTCTTTGGAAATCGGCTCGCAACTTGGTCTCACGTCCCAGGAGTCGGACTCCAGAGCCAGAGTGAGTGGCCATTTCACTTTTATTAGCCGATTGTAATAAGGAAATAATTTGATCAATGTGCACTATATGTTACTTGCCTTTCTGAAAGCATATTTTGAAAATACATTTATGGATTTTTTATCGCTAGCTGCTCTTACGACTAATCTAAGTAAAGGTAGATACAGAAAAACATCAGTTCATGGTCTGGTATATTTGCAAGAGTAGTTTATATTCCCATGTTACCAGTAATTAATCGAGACTTATATTTCAAAGCGCACTGCAAATGAATGGTTTAGAAATCTTCTTGAGATTTCTTCATGTAACTCTAATTTACTGACAACACCTAATATTTTCATTTGAATATACAGAGAGTGTTTACACATTTTTGTTACGATTTCGATTTTCTCTATAAATTTAAATACAGGGTGTCTCATTCGAAAGAGGCCCGGGAAAAGTGTAAAAATCTTGTAATAAAAGAAACGAAACCAAATTTTTACATAACACACCTTTATGTTTGAAAAATGAAAGTGAATTAAAAGAGGTGCTGGAAGTTATCTTCCCTTACCTGTACACATAGTTAAACATGTCACTGCATCTTCGCGTATGCTGCTGCCAGCGCATAGGGCGTTATTCCTTGGCTTTCACGACGGATGTTCTGACGCAAATCGTTGGTGTGTGTGGTTTGTATGTGTACCCATTACCTTTAATACGACCTTATAGAAAAAAACTCAAAGGAGATCAAGTCTGGAAAAGTGGGGAAAATGATTCCACCGCATTCATATTCGCTACAGATATGTGGCATGTTGCCCCATCTTCCTGGTACATGTCAGCTCCTCATCATCCAACTGGTTCACAAATTCGTGAAAACGTGCCTAGTATACTTCACTGTTGACAATAACGTAATAGCCCGATGATGCGCCGCTTTGATAATGCACAAAACGCACTCATCTTTTATGAATAAAAGGGTTCCTCGACGGCTACATGCTGGTTGTCTCTACCCCTATAAACGTGTGTTTCGTTAGTTCACGTATCCAGACAAGTGGAATCACGCTTCATTACTCTACCACATATAATCTGGGAGCAAATTACAGGAAAACGTAACAACGTATTAAACTGTGTATGCAGGTTGAAGGAAGTCATTTCCAGCACCTCTTCTAATTCACTTTCATTTCTCAAACATAAAGGCATGCTTTGCAAAACTTTGGTTTAATTTTCTTGTATTATAAGATTTTTATCCCACTTTTCCCGGGCCCTCTTTCGTGTGGGACACCCTGTATTAATTTTAAAATACAAACGTGACTGCAAACAAATTGGAATAATGTTTCGTTATCGTCTGCAGCATTAACAGTATTATTTCCGTTAAAATGTGGCTGAAAAAAAACAATGGATTGAAGGCTATATTTTTGCGCTGTCCGAAGAGAAATACTCTTATTCAATTATTAAAGAAAGATGTGAAAAGTACGGTTTTAATATTTCTAAATGTAAAGTAAATGCCATAATTAATATGAAAGGAAAGAAACGTCATCATTTACATGTGACTGGGAAAATGGCAAAAAATTTGTACCCAACAAAGATATAGCTATTATTAAATCTAAAGTCGCATCTTATGTCTCAAGTTACGTACAGCTATTATTAAATCTAAAGTCGCATCTCATGTTTTAAAAGAAAATCAAGTCCCCCAATGAGCTATTGCAAAATCTTTAAATATGTTTGTAGGAACTGTGAACAAAGTTATAAAATCTGATTACAGCTAATGAAAACAAACACACACACACACACACAAAAAAAAAAAAACATGATGTTCATCGCCTAACGCCGAAACATGTTTCTCAGCATAAGACTATGCTGTATGAAAATTAGATGGCAGGTGAGAAAAATGGAAATATGTAGTTACAATTGATGAGGCTTGGATATACTTATCTAACTGCAATAGAAAAATATCGATTTACTGCCGAAAAAGAGGAGAAAAAGACTTAATATATTGGTTCAGAGAAAACAAGGAAAGTTTTTATAAAGGTTTTATGTTTTTTACTCGATTCTCTTATAACGAGAAACTTAAGGAAAGTAGAAAAAAATGTCAAAATTAATTCGGATTACTATCATAAATATGTTTTAACACCTATTTTTAAAGAAGAAATTCCATCCCTTTATCCAAACAATTTTCACTGTGTTAAGTTCCATCAGGATAAGGCTCCAAGCCATACCTCTAAATCTATTAGTCTATTTTTTGAAAAATAGAGAAATGAAGACGGTGTTGAAGCTATTCCCTTTAAATACATCCAACCCAAATCCTCTGATGTACCTCCTATGGATTACTGTGGATTTGGACTTTTAAAATAAGCTCTTTATAAGCGGCATCCCAAAATATTGGATGGACTCTGGAAGATTGTGAAGGAAGAGTGGAATAAAATTAACACTGATGGGTTTTAAGGAGAGGACTATCATATTACATCCTGTAAATCAAGATGTAATATGATAGTTCAACAAAAGGGCTATCAGAGTGAACATATTAGAAAATAAAATTCTAAGTTTTGCTATAGCCTGTGACCGAAAACTTTGGTCAAAAAACAAATAATCAAACACACAAATTCAAGTCATCTGAACGTCTTTCTCCTTTATTTTCTTATAACTCCATGGTAAAGCAAATATATATTTTATGTACTGCTTTGCGGTTGGGCAGATGCATTCACATAGCTTGCGAGCGTGCACCGCAGCATAAATACATATATTATTTTAAATACAACCCACCTCTGTGTTCAGAGTGCACTAAGTACAATACAAATTACTTAATACTTAAATACATATACAATACAAACCACTTAGTAAGTGTAACACAAGTACAAAGATAATGACACAAATAGTTCTAAACTTATGGAAATACACTGTACTTAATGATGACATTGGTTAATAATAAGACAATCAGACATAAGACATTTCAAATGAATAAATTAAGTGAATTGGTCGTTTATGTTGTTGCTTATTAGTTTTTAAAAAGGCGAAAACGTACGTGTCCGTGACGACCAGTAAAAGCCTCTTCGACAATACCAAGAGGTCCTAGAAATTTTGATTTAGTGGTCCCTTCAAGTAAAACTATGTCTCCTCTTTTAAGATTTTTTCCTAGCGATAGATTAACAAAACTATGTATATTTCCCAATTGCATCAAACAATTATCTTTTCATTTCATCCAGAGTTGACGTAGAAGTTTAGTCTGATGCAATTTTCGATGAGTCAAATTTTCCTTTTTTGGAGATTTATTGTCGAAAATTTCAATAAAATGTATAGGATAGCTAATACTTTCTTGACCAAGAAGTAACAAATGAGCTGGAATGAGAGGTTCATCAGACTCAATGCTTACATGAGGGGTCTATGATTTAATACCATTTCGATTTCGGAAAAATGGTTGATATTTCCTTGAAACTAAGACAAATCTTTGCAAGGATTTTCCTTATAGGGTCTTTAATACTCCTTATGATTCTTTTATAGAACGTACCCCACCATGGGGCATGAGGATCAATAAATTGCCATGTTATTTCATGTACCGCAATAAAATTTTTAAATTCAAATCAGACAAAAGTTGGGAAGAAAACTTTCAAAATGTCTGCTGTCTTAAAAATCTTAGAATTATCAGAAATTATGACCTTAAAGTTCCCCGTTCTTGCCAAAAAATGTCTTGAGGACTAAATAAAACGTTTCATCGATATATAAGCAATTAATTTGATATGAAGTGCTCTAGTAACTCCAGATGTGAATCAGATTGTATATGCCATTTGTTAAGTGGCCTTTTCCGAACGAAAAAACACTGGAACAGTGTAATCAATTCCAGATACAGTAAAGGGAACATTTTCCAATATTCGATCTTTTAGCAATAAGCGGTTATTTGTTTAGTAGGTTTTACAGAGTATCTGCTATAAAAGACAAATTTTTAAAACCGTCTCTACAATTTGTCTACCCTTCGGAATCCAAGGTCTATTTCTAATTTTAGCAAGAGTCTCAGACATTCCACCATTGTAAATTGAATTATATTTTCTTAAAATTAATAACTTGGTGAATTTCGACTATTTGCGCAAAATAACTGGATTTCATCAATAGAAAATCTCTTTATGAAAGCCTACCTTTAACACGCAAAATAGCATTTTCATCTAAAACTACGGCTAGCTTATATAGAAACGATTCCTTAGGAATTTGCTTACCACCTTTAACGCATTCTAATTCAGAAGGACACACGAGTCTTTGTTCACAGTGTTTGTTTATGCAGTTCTGTTCTGCCTTTATGAGTTTATCTGCAGCATAAGATTCCATATCTATTTGTTGTTTTCTAAGTTTACCAACGAATATTTTAAATAATACCATAATTTTCAATAGTTAAGTTACTGTAGTAATAATGGTTCAATAGTCAAGTTATTTTAATAAAAATAGTTAGATTACTGCATTTATTCAAATCTAAAACTAATTGAGAATTCCCCATTGCACATTTATTTCTGTTACAGTGTCAAATTCCTTTCGTAATTCTAAATCCCCAATAAGATTGTCAATTTTAATCTCATCAGGCCAAAGTTCATAGGGTTGACTTAACCAAGGTAGTTTCGGCCACCATTTAAAATTTTCAGCTACCACCAAAAAATCTTCAGCTAAGTCCGAGGTCGAAATATTCCTGAAAAGGATGTCTGCAGGATTTTCCTTCCCGGGGCAATGAGGCCAATTGTTAGGATTGGTCGAATTTTTAATTTCTTCTACTCTGTTTCTGTTGAGACATGTTTCGGAATCAGTCCAAAAGCAGCAAAGTACATCAAATTACAAACATTTACTTATGTGTTTAGCAAGTCTAGAAGATAATAAACACCCTGACAATTCCAAATGCAGGAATGAGATAGATTTGAAATGGGCAACTCTATTCTTGAAGCATGTAAAACTAGAAATAACTCTATTGTCTCGAGTGACCGCTCTTAAATACACTATTGACCCATATGCCGCCACACATGCATCTGAAAAAGAATGAATATCAAACGAAACAAAATCACATA